TTTGGGCTTCGCCTCGCCCGATGCCTGAGGGTAGCTCTGCCTCGCCCGACACCGAGGATGCGGGCTCCACCTCACCCAACCCCTAAGGGTTGGCTCTGCCTCGCCTGACACTAATGCCATGGGCTCCCCCTCACCCAACCCCTGAGGGTGGCTCCACCTCGCTCGACCCCTGAGGGAGGACTCCACCTCGCCCGACCTCTGGGGGCGGGCTATGCCTCGCCCGACACCAAGGCCATAGGCCCCACCGCGCTCGACCTCTAAGGGCTGGCTCTGCCTCACCCAACCCTTGGGTTTGGGCTCCGTCTCGCCTGAGCCTTAGGTTTGTGCTCCGCCTCGCCCAGCCTCTAAGGAGGAACTCTGCCTCGCCCGACCCCGAGGCCAGAGGATCCGTCTCGCCCGACGGAGACCCGTACCATCGCCAACCACTCCAGGTCCAAGCGTATGGGCCCAGGTCAAAGCTCTGATGTTAGGGAAGAGATTGGCATGCTTCGATGTAACCTACGACCCACGACAGGTCATACCTGGGGAGTCACATCAGGAATAGCATCGGGCGTACTGATGCTGTTCTGCTAACCCCTGTACGAACACTGACGGGCATGTCAATTCACCACGACGTCTGCCAGGATGGAGTGGAGCGCCATGATCGGCAGACGATGCCTGCACATGGTGCCAGTGACGGATAGGGCCACGACGAGAAGCTATCCCTATTGACGTCTACAGGGTCGGTGGGACCCACATAGAGGAGAAGAAGGACCCGGTGATCCTGAATGACTTCTTCCTCTCGTTCTCTTCTCTTCCTCCACTGTAACTCGTGCTTTCCCTTGGCCTATAAAAGGAAAAGCAGGGCGTCCCATAAGGGGCATCGCAACACATCACATCAATTCGGACTCGAACCCATCAAGCATCGAAAAAATCAGAACACACAAGCACACAGCCGGGAAGCGACCGAGCTTTCAGCACCCGTTCGCTCCTCTCATCAGAGACTTGGGACCCGTCCCTCTCTCGACCGTTTGTAACCCCTACTATAAACTTTCAGTGCTAGTAACACGAGTAGCAGCAACGAACTGGACGTAGGGACATTCTGCCCGAACTGGTATAAACCTCGTGTCCTCTTAGCACACCATTCGAGTCAGACGTGCAATATTAGAAATTTACTAGTTGGTGGTAACTCGAAACACCGACATGTTTAAACATTTTTGTTAGAAATTAAATGTCAAAATAGCATTGTCTTACTACTTTTCCATACTTAGGAAGTTAAGGATTTCAATTGAGGCTAAGTAACCATTAACTCTTTTATCGTAATTTTTAATAGATCTAAACCTTGTTAACTTCAACCAACAAATACTTCATGCAATAGTCCATACCTTATACTAACCCGTATGAGCAAAATATTTAAGCACCATTTAACTATTTTGCTCAGTATAATTTGCCAAAAAATGGTATTTTAACAATAGTTCAAGTGTTTGCCGACTTAACGAAAAGAGCTTATCTTAACGTCAAATTTGATTTTTGAGCTCCCAAAACACTAGTTAATAACATTTATTTTCTAAAAGCTAAAGTTGCATTTTCATCTACTAAACTTGTACTTCAATTTCTATTTAAGTACTAAATACAAGTTATGTATGATCCTTGTACCTAGAAATTGTTTTTCGCCTCACGTGCGTTTTAAAACCCTAAAACTTGTTAGGCTAATCCTTCTTGGACCTAAATCTCGGTGCTAAGCAAACTCTTAACACCAGGGGTGTTACAGCTGGTGGCTTGCTTCAGTAGCCCGTTGCGAGCTTAGCCTGTGTGGAGAGGCGAACCGTAAGAGGCACTAGTCTAGGATGGTCCATTCCCATCCCAACTTGCTCATGAGGCAAGCATCACTCTAGAGAGAGTCAGATGCCAAGTCACCAATATTACCTCCCCCTACCCACTTATGACCTAGGGCCTCTTTGGCAAGGCTTATGCCATCATCGACTACACCACTGGAATTATATTGTACCACACTATAGCTAAAGGCTTAAAGTTGGTGAAGCCCTCAAATTTTGGCCTCTCCATCTTTTTAGTGTATTTTGGGCTGGAGAAAGAAAAGGAGCATTTGCTACAGTGCACTAAACAATGACGTTGCACTGTGCCTGTCAAAAAGAAGCTGAAGGCCGAGAAACCACTGTCAAAGGGGGCCCTAGCTGCTCGCCTCAAGGTAGCTGCTCGCCTCAAGGTCTGTTTGTCTCTGTTTTTTTGCTGGTTTCTACCAGCCAGAAGCCAAAAGGTGAAACAAACAATCCAACTGTTGAACCGGCTTTTGAAAAGTTTAAAGGTTGGCTTTGAGAAATTGAACTAAAAGGTGAAAAGCATGGTGAGAGGAGTTTTTCCTTTTGGTGTGCTAAGAATCTAAAATTTATTACAAAAGTCCATAACAAAAAGCCAACAGCCACGACAAGTTACACAAGCGAACCTGCGGGATCAGGAAAAGCCTTGGCTTGCGACTGCCTCGCCCTAGCGAGACTCACAACCACCGCCGCTGCCGCTGCCACCATTGTCTCCACCACCGCTTGTCCCCCTGGCTTCCCCCTTCGGCATCTCACCGGAAGCCAGAGGGAGTGGGGATCCATCATTTTAATAAGTTTTCTTAGTAGATCAAGTCCTTAGGGTTATGGTCTCTTCATACCAAGTTTCTTGGTACTAGGGATTTATCTCCTCCTCCTCCTCCCGACGACGGCGAGGGGGCAAGGTGGATTCGTTTTCTCCATGGCGGTTTTGTTGAAGATGAGGACGACAACGGCGTCAGCAACTTCCTCGGCATGACGACGTGGAGACTTGTTTTTCTGAACGGCGACATCAAGACGGAGATGATGTTGCCTAATTTTCTCCTGTCTCTTCTCCGTTTTGTTGTGGTTAGATCTAACCATGATGAAGGACTAGGGAGAACAAGTTTCAGATCAGTCTTCCTTATTCTTCGGTGGTAGAAAGAAGAAGAAGAGAGACACATGAAAGAAGAAGTTTCTCAACTCCGCTTGCAAGAATGTTGGCCATCGTTCGTTGGGCATCTGTTCTCAGGCCTTTTTACCGAGTGTTTTCTTATGCGGTCATCCATACGAATCTTCATACAGGTTTAGATTTAAGATTTGGAGCTATACAAAGCGTGGGTATAACTTAGATGATCAGTTTTTGGATATACGTATTACAGAGTCATACAATTCTTCTTTCATCTAAAAAAAGCCACAAGCCAGTAAGCCAGCTTGTAATTGAAAAAATGGGGTTGAGCCCATCCCAATTAAAACCAAGGAGGATAATTAGCTCAGTATTAGCACACACACGGATCCAGCTAACCACAGAACTTGTTGGTCTCAATTAACGCATAGGATTGTTTGCTAGCTTCATCAAATTCTCCAATGAAATAGGGTCTTAATATTGCATTTATTTGAGCTTGCAGATGCTATTCTATTTTTTATAATTTGAATTAGAGAAAATTAACTTCAACAAATATAAAAATAAATTATAACTTGGAACAGAGAAAGTATTAATTTCTAATACACTAACTTCAATCTGTTGGGAGTACTTCCACACATTAACAACTGAAGTAAGCAAATGAGCCCACTGAAATAATCTACTCTAGTGCTCGGACTTCGGAATAAAAAGGTTTCCAGTCTATTCAAGCTACTCTAAAATAAAAATACTACTCCCTCTATCTATAATATAGTGTATTCAAGCATTCAAAAACTATACACAAATATAAAGGATTCTAGGGGATTATATTAAATAGTTGTATAAATTTGGTAGATATTATATTGCTACTTGTCATTTATCGATCAATCATCATTATGATTTTGATGATAGCGTCCGATTAGAAAATAAAATAAAGGTACATGCATCTTTTGTGTTCTCTTTTAATCCATCTTGAAATCTATAAAATAATACATTATAGGACAGAGAAAGTACTTATCTTCTAAAGTTTGCCCCCCCCACCCCCCCCACACACACACACATAACAAAGGATGTAAATTTGAATTATTATGCATACATTGCATTATTTAGAGTCTCTTTGGCATGACTCTGGCTTTTTGAAACTCTTTTTGTGAGGCCGTGCCAAACGTCCATTAAAAAAACAGCTCCTTGCAAGGAGTCTAGATGAGCCAAAACTGTTTTCATACTGTGCCGGAGTTGCAAAAATATGGCTCTCTCATGGCTTTTGTAGGCTACTCGTACTTAACACAAATTATTTTACCGAGCCGTTTTTGTTAAATGATTTTCAAAACGATTTTCTGCTCTAGGTAGAACCCGAAGAGAGCCCTATCACATTGGTCTTAATTAAAATATATGTTTTGGACAGGAGTTTGTTTTTATTAAAAAAAAATTTGGACAGGAATTTGGTCAAAATTCTAGCCAGGCCTTTCCAGCCCTGGCCTGGGCCATGAGCAGGTCTATCGAAGAGCAGTAGCACTGTGAATGAGTTCTCAACTCATCACAGACACTGTAACGTGAGAACAGTCAGGCCAACAATGCAGCAGCAGCCACACCAACTAACATGGCTTAATAACATCAGTGCAGCAACAACCCCCTGCCAGTTCCTTTCAATGGATTGATATGCATGTCCAAGTACTAACTCGAGTAACTTCCCTCAATGCCATGCCAGACATGCATCATCCTGGACATCAATTCGTCAGATTCCCACAAGAACAAGCTTCCCGTTTTGCATCCATGCCGCCAAGACATGCATGAGTTATGTAATCACGAAGTCATTCATGAATCGTGATCACTTGGCATTCAGCAAGCATCTCAGATGATCGGTCCATGAATTTGGATTCACTCGAATCAAAGCACGGATTCACGAATGAATGGTACTTAGAATCGAAGTCCAACAGAAAATTAACAATTCACAGGTTCACGCACACGTTCTGGTTGCTAGGAACACGGACATGTCAAAAACATGCGCCATGATGCCAAGAACCAAGAACACGGCCGTCGGCCGACATGCCAAGATCGCCAGGAAACGCATCCAAAAGGACACGCGCCTTCTAGGCGAAGAGCATGTCCGCGTGCGGGGTGAGGTCCTTGTGCGCCTCCTTGATGGTGGCCTCGGCGACGCCGGTGGCCATGGACACGTCGCGGACGGTCTTGCCGGCGCCGGCGCGCTGCACGACCATGTAGCTGATGGCGGCCGCGATGGACTCGGGGTTGCGCCGGACGTCGAGGCCGTTCTCGAGCCTCCGCGAGGCCTCCTGCGCGGCGCGCATCTCCTGGTTGCCCATCCCGAGCCGGGAGCAGAAGCGGCGCATGTAGTCGGCGGCGCGGACGACGCCGATGTCCATCACATGCCCGGCCTCCTCCCCGAGCACCTTCTTGATGAGCGTGGTCATCTTGCCGATCTCCTTCTTGGCGGCGGCGCCGGCGGCGGTGACCGTGGCCAGCTCCTTGTACGTCCGCGGCTTGCCCTCGTTGCGGCACGCGACGTAGAGGCACGCGGCGTAGAACACGTCCCGCTTCTTGCCCCTGGTGGGGCACGCCTTGGCCTCGTCCAGCCTCTTGTAGACGTCCTTCGCGCGGTCCCGGATGGTGGCGACGAGGCCGAGGCGGTCCGCCATGTCAGCAATGGCGTGGAACGCATCCACCAGCGTCTGCTCGTGGTCCGCGCCGCCGCCGCCGGCGCTGACCCGCATCCTCGGAAGCGCGTGACCGCCCTCGCCGTGCGTCTTCTGCGGGCCGGCGTAGGCGATGCGGGTGACGAGCGGCGTGTTGGAGAGGAACGGGTCGTTGGGACCGCCGACGCGGCTCGGGTCGCGGTCCTCGCCGCCGCCGCCGTCGGCGAAGTTGCGCCACTCGGAGCCCTCGTCGATGTAGTGCGCCTCCAGGACGAGCGCGCACTCGGTGCAGATAGTGTCGCCGGTGGCGTGGTCCAGCACCACCTCCGTCGTGCGGTGGCAGTCCGGGCAGTAGACCGACTCGTCAGCCATGGTTATTGCTGAGAGTCTTCAGTTACCGGGACAAGGCGTGGTGCAGATCAATTCGATGGAAGTTGCAGCGGCGGCGCGGCGGAGTTGGGGATTAGTTAGTGAGGAGGAGGGGTCGGCTGAATTTATAGACGGGTTAGGTCGGTTGCTCCGGGGATTAGGGGATCCACGGGTCAAAGTCGGTGTCGGAAAGCGAGGAGAGATGGGAGTCGGACGCCCGAAAAAAAAAACCGTGGAGCAGTGGCTCCGATCGGTCGGATGAAAGATGTTCGGCAGCTCCTGCGTGACGTGCCAATCGGCTCACGGCTACGTTGTGTATTCACCCAATTTTTTTTAGGGACTTGCAACAATACAAGCAAGAGCTCACCCTCTTCGTTTGATTATTTCTGTGCCTTATAAATCAACTGATGTTGTTTTGTTGTGAGAGAAAAACAATATATCATAGCTGATAAGCATGACTGATATGATCAAGTGAACAGAGTGAATTACCACCTATCTTGATATCTTAGGTCCTGGATACATTAGCTGACAGTGGTTAGCTAGCTAATAACACATAGTTAATATTAGCTGGCTAACAATTGGCTGCTAGCTATTAGTTAGGAGGGTGTTTGGATACACTCTGTAGGAATAATTTAGCTCAAGTTATTCTTCGAGCAAAGAAGTCTTATGAACCTCACATTAGTCGATGGCTAGAGAATTATGTGTAATAGCTATGATTTTCTTTGTAACTTTTTTTTATCATAATGCTTGTTGTAAACTATTGCTCTTTTATTAATAAAAAGCACAGTAGGGGCTTGCACCTCCTGTTTTCTCTCAAAAAAATAATGAGATGGTTATTTCTCCACCTATTAGGTGCTATTATTTGATTTGGTTCAACTAGTGAGATAGTTGTTATCTAGAAGTCCAGCTAACAATTAGCTAGTCTATTAGTTGGACCTGTTTGGACCCAAAAGAGATAATTATCATTAAATAGTTATTATCTATAGGGATCCAAACAGGTAGCAAGCTTTTGTCTGATCTTGGTCACATGATAGTTTCTCCACCAATCCTTCTCATTTTCTGAATTTCCGCGAGCAAGTCTCAATTGTACTGCAGAGGCGAGAGTTAGTTTGATTATTCTTCGTTAATAAGTTTGCCTCCTAAAAAAAATGGGCATCCATTACCTTGACGGCAAACCAGAGAACACGCGTCTTAGCCTCAGGTTCCGAAGAAGTGAGAGCAGTAGCAACATGCAGAAAAAAATGAAGTTGAGTAGAGACTATGCGTTGGTGTGGAAAGGATAGCATACCAAAACCCAAAATGACGATCATTACGTGCCTCCATATAAACACCAAAGGATAGAAAAGATTATTTATAATATAATTGTAGTAACATGAGACGGCCATGCTGCAGAATCGAGGGAAGAAAGAAGTGAAGTCCACCATGTATGTGACAGTATGAAGCAAGGTGTGAGCTCCGAACTCAATGTTGGAGCCAAACCACACAGCCCTATTAGCAAAGCTGTATTATTTTTAAGAGAAACCGACATGTTAAACTGTTGCCCTATGGATTAATAAAGGAGTAAACATGTACATATGAAACTAAACAATATACACTCTACAACACCACCACCGAAAACCAGCGCACGACGTTAGCAACGACACGACTGACCACCAATCAAAGTTGCCTGCGAAACCAAAAGCCACCCTGTCCCACAAGGGGTTTTACTAAGTGATATGATGCATCTATGGAGAGAATGACATCTGTAGACGTTGTCATCGCCAATCGGAATACCAACACAGTTTTTTCAACCAAAAAAAAGACCCTAGGTAGAGGCAAGAACAGGGGAGAGGACACAAGACAATGCCTCCAACGAGGTATACAATGCCCATAAGCGTCACCATTATAATCATCAGTGTAGCCAAGCAAGGACTTCCCTAATGCCTCTCATCCCAAACCACAAGCCCATAGAGTGGTTCTAACCGAAGTAAGCCGCCACTAACGAGTTGTTGCAGCCACACCAAATGAGTAGCCTCCATGCAAAAGTTTAAGTTCTTGGTTGGATTAACTTGTCTGCCCAAATTACTCGTAGGATTTACAGCACCCGAATGGATATATTAAGAGGAGTGTTTGCTTGAGTCCTGAATTGCCAACACCTTGTATGCACTCTTGGTGAGGACTATCCATCTATGGACTCTATCCAATAAAAAATATCCTGTCCGATCCATCACCTAAGATTTTGGGATTGTAAATCCATATTCCTCATTTGTTTTTTACAGCAATATTGGATGTGAGGTCTTAACGCTTCACGTGATAGATGCAGAGCACAGTTAAACATGGCCTAATTTTTTTTCTACATTCAACATATTCCCTCAATCATGCTACGTAGCCATGTTCATGGTGATCAGACGCGCTAGGGTTCATGTAAACAATGCTATTACAATTACTGGTGCAGTATGAGCCGGAGTCCCGAGAAGCTGCGCCAAACAGTCTCTAAACATGTTACCTCTACTTGTTCCCCTCGTTTAATCCCACTGCGGTATTGATTGAGCACTATTTATACATTTGGTACGTACGGTCACAGAAACTTGACACGTCTTTGAGCACTAGTATCTTTTAAAATATATTTTTAAGTCCTTCAAATTTTTGATATATCGTTCAAGTAGTTTCCAATACAACTCTACACAAATATTAGGCATGTCTCCAAAGTCCAAACAAAAAGGTTTGAACAAATCTATAGTTACAAAGGACATGTTTTTTTATGGTGGGAATAAGCAGGGATTCTCCTCAAAATTGTCCGAGAAAACATTCATAAATGTTTTTGTAACTTGGTTAACGAACAACATGTATTTTTACTTAAATCCATATCTATAATTATTACATGGATACGAAATACTTGTACATTTGGTAGCCTCTATGTTTTGATCAATAAAGCAGCACGGAATTGTTCAAAGACGTGTTTATATAAGTTTTTACAATTTTGTTAACCCCACAAAGTTTTGTTTTATGTAAAACCATCCTATGTGACTTGGATATATAATATAGTACAAACATGGAGTCTGTTTTCAACAAAAAAGAGAATACACCGAGTTCAACCTGTTCTCCAAACAAAAGGAGCCGTGTTGGATCCAAATCCGTCATGACATGCCGTGGGCCCATGTTGTACCATCACATCACCGGCAGCCCCGTCCGTTCGATCCGGATCCGACGAGACGTAACCGCAGCGGCAGCAGACGCCGATCCAAGGCGGAGTCGGGACGAATCGGCACCGACCTTGGGGCCGCGCCTTTAAATAGCACCCCCCACCCTGTATGCGACGTCGCCGCCACCAGACACGACCAGAGCGCCACTGCCCACAAGGCCACAAAACACGAGACCAGACTGCCACCGAGCGAAACGGCATCTCTTGGTTCGAAACGCCGCCGCCGAGTGACGTCAGCGCCCTTCGCGAACGCGTGCATGGACTGCTACTAGGCGCCGATCGACACGCACAACGCCGCGGCCGAGGAAGCCGCCCTGCCGAGGAGGACGGCCTGCAGAGGATGCGCGGCTACGTGACCCTGTCGCTGAGGACGCCCGATCAGGAGCCCGAGGCCGTGGCGCTCTCGCTCTCGCTCTCGCTCAACACCACGCCTCCGCCGGGTCATCTGGAGGAGGAGCCCGCAACGGCGGCGGCGGCGGCAGCGGCCGTGCACGAGCGCGTGCAGCCCCGCGGCGGCGAGAAGGCCATGTCCGAGGCGTACCGCGCCATCGCTGACATGGCGGCGCGGCTCGGGATCGCGGCGGGCGCGCGGGACGGCGCGGTGGAGGTGTTCCTGAGGATGGAGCGCAAGGGCAAGGGGCACCACTACTACACCAAGGGCGCGGGGCGGAGCGGCGACGCGCTGTACGCGGCGTGCCTCTACGTGGCGTGCCGCCGCGCGGGCGCGCCCCGGACGTTCAAGGAGCTGGCGGCGGCGACGCGCGACGGGCCCGCGGCGAGGAAGGACATCGGCAAGCTCATCGTGCTCATCCGGAAGCGCCTCGGGGACGAGGCCGGCGGGGAGGCCATGATGGACATCGGTGTCGTGCGCGCGGCGGACTACGTGGAGCGCTTCGGCTCGCTGCTGGGGATGGGGGAGGACGAGGTGCGCGCCGTGCAGGAGGCCGCGCGGAGGATGCAGGACCAGCTCGACGTGCGGCGCAACCCGGACTCCACCGCCGCAGCCATCATCTACATGGCCATGGAACGCCGGGCCGGCGCCGGGAGGTCCATCCGGGACGTGTCCGCGGCCACCGGCGTCGCCGAGAACACCATCAAGCAGGCGTACAGGGAGCTCTGCCTGCACGCCGACATGCTGTTCCGCTGAAGTAGGGCGACATTGGGCCCGTTCGCTTGACTGAATTCTGGAGGAATCTGGATGATTTGGAGGAATGCTGGAGGAATTTGTGAGAGAAAAACACCGTTCCGGATGAAAAAATAAGCGGATCAAACCGGGTTTAAGGGCACATGAACGGGGCCATTATTGGCTTTGCTTGTATATATGGTTCCTTTTGGTTATAGATGATCTGTTTCTTAATCACATTCCCCTGTTTGCTTAACCGAGACGAATTCATCTGTCATTTGGAATATATATCTGTAACAAAAAAGTATTTCATCTATCTCTAGTGTCTAAAGAGTTGTTGTCCCTGTATTTGTTTTCTGTGCACAAGAAAAAACAACGAAGGAAAAAAATTCAAATTTTCCAATTGCTAAAGTTTTCCACTGATGAAATTTAAAATGTCTTAACCCTAAAAAAAATGTCTTTCGGAGTTGATTCGAGGTAGGAAAGCCGCTGCCGCTTGCCAGGGCGTTGACAAAAAGGGGCTCCACGATTGGGGATCTCGCCGTCAAGGTTTGATGCCCTTGCCGCCGCCGCCGCCGGTGCACTCGCTAGGTCGCGGGAGACGAGGGGCGGAGGGGGCGATTCAGACGGGCCGTTTTAAGTTAAGGCCCAAACCGGCTGCATTTTCTATTGAGCTTACTACTACACTTTTTTTGGGGT